CTCCTCAGAAGGAAGATTAGGCAATCTACTTCAGTGGTGATGTTGTTGTTGTTGTTGTTATGTGCCTTCGAGTGGTGATACTGCCTTGGAAACCCAAGGAGGGGTCACTATGAGTTCCAAATCAACAGCATGAGTTTGGTTTTGTTTTGGTTTACTAAAGTTTGGTGGTTTTAACCCATTCAGCAGCACCACAGAAGAAAGGCCTGGCAGGCTGCTTCTCTTAAGACTGTAGCCAAGAAAGCCCTATGGAGCAGTTTTACTCTGTAACAATGGGGTCACCATGAGTTGGAATCGACTTGACGGCAGCAGGCAGAGTCTTCCTACTTAACCTTTCAAGACTTAGCTCAACCTGGGAGCCCACCTTAGCATTCCCCCTCCCCATTCTGAAGTACCTTCCTCTGTGTCATACACACTATTTTCATCACATTGCTTTGTATCCATTTGTTTGTACACCAGTCTCTTCACTAGACTTCAACCTCCTCCAAGATTTTATGTAATAATACTATGTGTCTCCACTCAGGGTAGGAGCTCATATGGTGATGAACCGATGGACTTCCAGATTCTTTTTTTTTCTTGGAAAATCCACTTACTGAATAATGTTACTTTTAATGCATCACAAAAATGAAAATGAGATTTTATTTGTATTCATCAATGAATAAAAAGCAAGAGATCTTCTACATGTTTATGTTTTAAATGCTGGATAGTTAGAAGATGTACAGAGAAAAATAGGGACTTGAATGTATGGGGATTAAATCCAGGTCAGTCTCTGTTTGAATTCATACCCGACACCCAAAGAGCTCTCTGGGCAAGAAGGAAGGGCAGCACTACCCAGGTGTCTGAGGTAAGGGGTTTAGTGCTTGGGGGTAAGTTTTGGGATAGAAGATAGACAGCCTCAGGGGAAAATGAACTGAGATTGAGGGATTTAGATGTTAGGAAAGACTATTGACTTTTCTACTGTCATGGGACTAATTTGCAAGAGACTTTCAAAATAACAGACACAAGTTATCTATCTGAGAGCATCCAGCTTCTCGTACCCAGAGGCTTTCTGTAGAGGAATTACAAAGCAATTTTGAGTTAGAAGCAATCTGAAACCCTGGAAAACCAGCCTTGTAGGAATCTAAAAGAAAAAAGGGAAGAAGCACTTTTTCACTTGTGAACTGCATGCAGGGTACTACAACCTCTCAAGACAAGAAAGAAGGTGGCAGAAGGAGCAAGACATTCAGGAAGCAGAGGAGATTTGAATGGGAAACAAATTCTACCTCAGATGCTAGATGTGACCTCAGCACTCAAAGGGGTGAAGGAGGACAGGAGCTGCCTAGATGAGAGTGGCCCAGTACCCCAAAGAAGGCAGGACAAATGGATTCCAAAAGAAAACCCGGGGTGACTTTGGGTACAAGTAGAAATGTTGGTAGTAGCCAAAATATGTGCCTAAGATGATAAAAGGGCAAGCTGCAGAAAATAACCCATCCATATGTATGGCCTACCCAGATGTTCTTGTTGTTGTTATGTGCTGTCGATGGTTTGACTCGCCAGCCTTCTGATTAGCAATCAAATGCCTTAGGCCCTACACCACCTTACTTTAGTTGTTGTTGTACTCTACTCATAGGGACCCCTTCTTGGGTTTCAAGGCAGTATCACTATGGCAGATTGCCCCATCTTTCCGAGGAGTGGCTGGTGGTTTGAACCTCCAGCCTTCTGGTTAACAGTCAAGTGCCTTAGGCACTACGCTACCAGAGCTCCTCCTACCCAGATAGGTACATAGATAATTGCATTTTATTTAGAACTGTAAAGATACCTATCCAATATTACCATGGCTATACAGGGGGAAGTGAGGACAAGGGGAGGCTTTCAGAGTTAGCTGTCTTTATATATTATTTGAATATTTTACATGGAGACCACAGTCATTTATTTGTGAAATAATTAGATAAGAGAAAAGAAAAAAGAAGAAAGAAAAGAAAAGCACATCAGCAAACAAGACACTGAAACCACGTTCTATCACCGCTCAGTCCTCTCTTTCCTAATTCCTTCCTTCCACTAATATGCTGGCTCAGGAGAAGGGAGAATCTGGCTTTTCATTTAATTAAAATGCAAAATACTTTCTTTCATTTTTTACTGCCTGGTGGCTAGGGATATTCTGCTGACTCAGCAGTGAATAATCAGCTTTGACCTAAATAATAAAATCTCTCAAAGTGGCAGCTGCAGTTGCATAAGCAAGATCCAAAGCTGCAGTTCCTTCTTCCTCCCACTCCTCTCCCCCACCCCCTCCTGCCTCCGTGCAAGCAAGCCAGTTACAGCAGGTTCTTTCTGCCTCTCCACCCCACCCCGCTACCGCTACCTCGTCATCATCGGCTTGACCCAATCTTCTCCCTTCCACAGCAAATCCCAGCCGGAGGCTCTGCTACACCATCTCTCCCCACTGGGCTCCTTGCTCCATTCTCGACTCCCTGAACCTGACTCTCCATTACACACCAGTCAGATCTCCACAGAGTGGTGGCCTTTCCCGCTAAACCTCTACTTCCAGAGTGGATGGAGCCCGGCCATCGACTTGCCAAAAGGAGATAGCAGAAAGCAGAGTTTCCTATGTAAATCCTACGAGTATTCCTATGCAATCCTTCCATGTCTGCTGTTTTTCTCCAGAAAATAGCTTGACTTTCCGCACCCAGCTCTACATCTAAAGAGATCCTGACTCTACACCCAAAGAACTCTGGACCTACTTAACCCAGCTAGCTTTCCTGGTGCCTGTTAAGAACATGTGGTGGGGGTGTATGGTGGGCAGTGGCGGGGGAATAAAAGATAGCATCCATGAAAAGCCTTCCTGACAGCTTGGTTCCTGTTTTACTAGATCCCTTAAGATGATTTGTGGGGCCTGTAGAAGTGGGTTAAAAAAAATCTCTGTGCACATACTCAAAGCAGCTGGTGTCTGGTCTAAAGAAGAGCAGAGAGAAAGTGTGCACGGCTACACACACAGGACATAAGCACTCCTGTGTGCGAGAGGAGGTGGGGCTTTCACCTGAAAGAAAAGGGAAAGTACAGAGGGTGAGGTGAGTAGCTGTTTTCCCTAAAGGAAATAAGGAGAAAGAACCCTGGGAATAAAAACGATTTAAGATGATTTTTTTGTTGGTAAAGGTAGAACAGTACTTGAACACTTACCTCAAGATTGAAAAAGTCTCTGCATAAGATTGACCACTATTGAGTTGGAGATTTTCCTTGCAGAGGACAGGCCAGATAAGCTTTTACTGAACCTTTGGTGCCACAGCAGGAGTTGGGTGAAGAGAGGATCTTGTCATTTTTGTCATGAGCCAGAATTTCTAAATTCCTCCTTGGTTCAGTTCTCACAAGTGTCCTGGTCAGGGATTGGCTGAGGTGTGCAACCTGTCCCTCTGGAGCTGGGCTGCAGAGTGATTCTTATCCGCTGGAAGGTTGGAGCCCCTGGCCTGAGAGGAAGGCCAACGGGACTATACTTTCCCACAAGGGGCTTTGCACAAGGACTAACCTACCTACCCTTGCTTGGTAGGTTTGGGGAATGTAAAGGTGGCCATAGAGTCCAGCTGCTCAGGGAGCTCCATTCTGTGGCGTGCCACTTCTCCCAGGGGGGACAGATTGGACAGCCTCAAGGCTCTCACTTTCTGCTCGGAGAGTAAGGGTGGTTTCTTGTCTAAGACACTTTAGCAGCATCAGCAGGAAAAAGGAAGCTGTGTCTGGGTGCAAGAGGAGCCGAAATCGCAGTAGCCAGCATTCATGTGGTCCCTCTTCCCTCTCTCCCCCAAGCCTGTCTGATGGCAGAAAACACAGCTCTTCCTGCATTCCCACGCTCCCCTTTCACTCCTCTCCCTGCCAGTTCTGGATCCAGCCAGCAAGCAATGACAAAGTAGCTCTAGCAGTTTGACTCAAATGGGGCACTAGGTACCCAGTGCTGTGCTGAGGATGTCCCATTTGTTATCTCATCCAGAGGCAGTGTGGATGACCATCCCCATCTCACAGTGGGGCTGGACAACATGGTCAAAGCACTCTCCCCAGTTAGTAACTGGTGGAACTGAGATGCAGTCTCAGGTAGCCTGATCCTGGAGCCCACAACTCTTGGCCTCCAGCTCTGTGAGCAGTCCTGACCAACCATAAAGAATATGCCCCAAACAAGTGTTTGGCCCCACAGTACCTATGGTGGCTTGGATGGTGGGGGTCTATCTCAGGGCTGAACACCAGTGCCAAAGAGGGCCCACTTGCCAAGACTACTCCTTAGGTCCCAGCTGCCTGCCCTATGGGAGGTTACTGGGGTAGATGGGTGATCCCTCTTTCCCCCAGAGGACCTAGGACAGGCTTCTCCTGTCTTCCAGCCTGGGAAAGTGTGGCCAGGTGATCATTATCCTCAGCTAAGTGTATGTGTGGGAGGTACCGACCTAGCTCTAGAAGGGGAACATATCCAAATATTTACTTTAGAAATTAGTTTTTGGTTTGAAAGATGTAAATACCCCCACATCCACTGAGATCCTTAATATCAGGGACTGAGCATTGAGACTTCTTAGATAGTTTTCTAGAACTTCTCTATAAAGCCTCTCTAACTTATTCCAGATCATAAGAGATACTTCCCCCTTCTCTGAATTTTTAGTGCAATTGCAATCCTAACCACCAGCCCAAAACCCATTGCCATCGAGTTGATTCTGACTCATAGCAACCCCCATTCCAAGGTGGTAAATGTTTACGGAAGTAGATTGACCAATCTTTCTTCCGTGGTGTGGCTGTACCTCGTGGTGTGGCTGTACCTCTGAGCGGCTACTTAAGATTTTTTTTTTAAGCATCAGGTAATTGTAAACAGAATCCATTCATTCAAAGCACTTGTAGGTAGTTAAAGCAAAGTAATAGGGGAAAAAAAAAAAAGAGAACACACACACACACACAAAAAAAAGGAAGGAAAGAAAGAAGGAGCAGAAGGGGAATCAGAGACATTAGATTACTGGGAAGGCTGATAGAGGCTGCCCTGAGGGCAAGGCCCAGATGACACTTACACAAGCAGATGGCAGCCAGGATTCGAAGGCCATACTCTGGGGGGAAGCAGGTAGGGAACAGCGGCTGTAACACGTAGTTGGAGAAGGTGAGGGAGATGACAGCCTGATTGGTGGGGTAGATCACCAGCAGAGCAATCCACAGTCTCAGGAACCTGAGGGAGGAACAGGACAGGGGTGACCCAGGGCAGAAATGGAGATCCCTATCTTCGCTGACAGGCATAACAGGGATTCCAGCCCCAACAGGGAAAAAGCCTGGGTAAACCAAGGGAAGCCTTAGGCGAGGGAGGTATTTTCAGGGATGCTAAGGAGCCCAGCCTTGCTCAAATGAGGCACCTAGCCTTCTGAAATGACAATAACATAATTTTAATAAAGAAGAGCTAAATTCCAACTGGTACTAACACAAGTAAGTCTTGGCATTCCTTCTCTTCCCCTTCTCCCTTCATCATCTCTTTTCTACCACTCTCACCCTCAGCTTCCAGGGGAATGGGTGGAAAAAGAAATTCTGCAACCTGAGAGCTCTGACAGCCAGGAGATGCTGAGGGTGTGGCTATTTAAGTAACTGCCAGTATAGGCATGGGATGAAGGTTGACAGGAGAAGTGTCCTCCATACCCATCTGCCCTTTGGAGAGGGTTGAGGTCTTGCATAGAAGGTCTGGAAACATGGAAGAAATTAATGATCAGGGCTTGGGTCTAGAGGGAGACCATTACCCTTGGTAAGGCAAGTCAGTCTCATTAGTCAAGATAAAGGCGCTTTGTACTTATGACGTGCTTTCCTTGGGAGTCTATGGTCAGCACTGTCATATGGTTCTATTTGCCCTCACTCATTGAACTTGCCCAGAAAGATCAATACAGAGATTTAAACTGCAAACCTATTTTCTCTGCCACTCTTGGGACCAACAAGGGGACATAAGGCTACACTAGTAGCATGATATGGAGACAAAAGAGAAATCCCATTCTCTAGCTCTCCTCGTCACACCACTGATTGGAAATCCCTGGCCTTGGCTTCCTCCAATCTGACTTCTTCCTGTGTAATCCCTTTCTTTCCCCCTAGACTGCTCAGGCCCCCCGACAGATTCTCTTACCCAGCCAGTCCTCCAAAGATATCCTTGACATAGGAGTAGTCACCACCAGATTTGGGGATGGTGACCCCAAGCTCAGCATAGCACAGGGCTCCCACAGCTGTGATGAGACCTGTCACAATCCAGACGATGAGTGCAAGGCCCACAGAACCAGCATTCTCCAGCACGCCTTTTGGCGAGACAAAGATTCCAGAACCGATGATGTTTCCTGCACAAAACACCAAAGGGTAAAGAGGGGTGGCAGTAGAGTCCATACAGTTGACAAGATTGGCATTTGCAGGAGTGGTCTCATCTCTGATCTGATTCTAAAATGCTTTTGGGATGTGTAACCCATCTTTAGGCAGGGTGTGTAGAAATAATTCTCCCTAGAAGTAGGGTAAAAAGAAAAGAACTGGCGTATATTAGGCAGAAATTGGTCAGATACTTTACATGTCTCATTTAACCCTCAGGACAACACTAGAGAGTTTGATATCATGTGTCCCATTGTTTTGGTTCTTTAAAATACTGCAAATGAGTGGCTTTAACAAACAGGGATTTATTCTCTTAGGAGGCTGAAGTCCAAGTTCAAGATGCCAGCTCTAGAGGCTGGGTGAAAACCTCTCAACCTTGGGCTTCAGCTCTGCCTCCTGCTCCCAGCCCATTGAAGCTGGAGGCGTCTCTTAACTCAGACAGCTGCTGGCTGCTGAGGCTGACAAACCCAAGGTTGGCAAATAAAATGGCACAGTCCCAAGATTATCAAACAACATGGCAGGACACTACTTCAAGTCCAGAGGCAGTCCTAAGATTGGCAGGAAACATGGCAGGCTACTGAATGAAGACCTGGCTATGTGCAGGATCCAAGCATGCCAAAAAGCTACAGCCAAAAACAAAAACAAAAACAAAACCTCACTGCCACTGAGTTGATTCTGACTCACAGTGACCCCCTCTGGGTTTCCAAAGTGGTAAATCTCCATGGAAGTAGATTGCCCAATCTTCCTTCAACAGAGTGGCTGGTGAGTTTGAACCACCAACCTTCTACCGAGCAGTCAAATGCCTTTGGCACTACACCACCAGAGCTCCTTAAAAAGCTGCAGAGACTTTTCTTATGCTTCTTCTTTTATATTGGAAGCAGACCACATCCCTAAGGCAGCTACTCAGCTGCTCTAGTAGATTCCACCATGGAGTTGATTACCAGTCTCATCATGGGGAATACTACATCCAGCTCAAAACCAGGCCCAGTCAAGTTGACATACAACTTAACTACCACACCCATTTTTACGGAAGAGAAAACTCACTCTAAGAGATATTAAGTGAGTTGTTCAAGTCCACATAGTAATAAGTGGTGGAGCAAGTACTGAATCTCAGTACCTTTTGGCTGGGCTACATATAGTGTACCCAAGATGACAAGGGTCTCAAGATAAACTGAAAATAGCAAGGTTGGAAAAGCAGGTTGTTCTCAGTTGATGTCCAGAAGACTTAAAAAATGAGCCAAAGGGCAATACCTTTAGGATAGAATGTTGGCACACCTGATTGGGGGTTTTTAAGACCTACAAGGTTGGACACCACTCTTGGAGACTGGCCTCTACCCCAGACTTCATAGCCCCACCCTTAGTGAGGAGCTTAAAATGATACTATAAAAACAGTTCTAACAGTCTGGAAATAGTTCATAGGAGTATGATACGTGCAAAACCTCAGTACTATACACTTCCAAAGGTTATTCCTTCAATTGTTTCATGTGATCCTCACAACAACCTGTGGGACTCAGGAAGAGGAAGAAAGGTGGTATTTCTGCCTTTATTTTACAAACCAAGAGACTTAGATACAGAGAGGTTAAGTGGTGAAAGCACTGATGGGTAAAATTGGATCTGGAAGCTGGGTCTTCTGATGCTCTTTCCACTAACCCACTTCTGCTTTTGTGAGCAGGGGGCTGTGTTTCTCCTGAAAACCAAATACTATGTGTTGGGCGAGGGAGGACTGTCTGGGCAGCTCTTGACATGCCTCTTCCCCAGTTTTCCTTTGTCTACTTCTTATGATTAAAGATGGTGATCAGGGTACATTGGATGAGTATTTTTGAAAACTTTCTCTTCATGCTTGCCCAGATGCACTACTCAATGCCTAAGGGATCATTCTCAGGGAAGAAGCAGAGGTTAAATGGATCCAGGTAGAGACAATGGAGTATTATGAGGCCAGATAGATTTGACAGTGTTCTGAAGACATCTCAAATTGCCACCATCTCTCCTCAGTGATCTGGAACCAGTACTGGGTTGAATGAGATAAAAAAGTATAGGATTTTCTTCGCAACTTTCAGAAACTGGCTTTTGGATCACAACTCTAACTCAACCTCAATCCAATCCTGAAGCTTTGACTTCTAAACCAAATTCAACTTTCAATCCCAGGCCAGCTATTGCAGTCAAGGGGAGGGAGCAGCGCTTATTCACATTCCAGAAGCAAAAACTTTCTATTCCTTAGGGGTACAGAATATGCTTCTCCTTTTAAACAAAAACATTGCAGTGTGAGCTGAGTAATGGGGGAGGGAATGAGTCTAGAAGGGTAGAAAAGCAGCAATATGCTTGAGACCAGAGTATAGCATCAGAGGGCATGGCACCAAAGCTAGCTAGGGAGCACATTTCTGTTCTAAACATGCCTTCCTTCTCTTGGTGCTAACGTGCTACCCAACAGTTCAGAGCTGCTTGTAGTAACCCCATTAGAAGAAGAAACAATCTGTCATCTTCAAATCTGTGATGTAAATATCAGGCAAAGAGACAAAAAAGAGAGAGAGGGATTCTGAGTGCCGTCAGTTCTTAAAGACTATCTTTTTCTTTTATGTTTATTTAAAGTCTTATGATAGGAATAGGAGCTCTGGTAGCATAGTGCCTAAGCCATTTGACTGCTTACCAGAAGGCTGGTGGTTCAAACCCACCAGCCATTCCTTGGAAGGAAGGTTGGGAAATCTACTTCCATAGTGATACTCTCTCAGAAACCCAAGGAGGGCTCGCTATGAGTCAGATCCAACTTGATGGCAGTGAGTTTGGTTTTGGTTTATGATAGGAATGCAAGGACATCTTTCTGTCCTCTTCTCTCCTGAACTAGTTGTTATATGTGTTTTGCATGAAGTAGGTTTAGAGTATACTAAAAGACTTGATTATTCCAGCACTTAAGACATGTACAGCCTATCAAGTGAAATCTTCACCTGCAAGAACTAAATTGCTGCTGTTTCTTGGAAGGCACCAAGTGCTGGGAGGTGAGAGAATGAGGGAAATGGGGTTGCTGATATTTCTGAAAGATGATAGTAAATTCCTGGCCCAGCAGAAATTTATCAAAAGTGTGACCTATAGGGCATTTCAAAGCCAGCCAAGAAGAGCAATAGAACTAGGGTTGTAAAACTAGTTCAAGGGGTTGGATAAACAATCAATACAGAAGGGAAAAAAACAAGGTTTGACTTTGGTCTTTAAGGTGCTGAGAAAGGAGGGAGGAGCAGTTAGGCATTTCCTAGCACCAGGCATGGCTGTTGAAAAGGGGAAAGAAAGGGTGAATGTTATTTTAAAGATATGATCTTCTCGAGAATGAAGAGTCAATGTTCCACTAAGGGTTCTTGGAAAACAAACACTATAATCAGGATCAGTAAGCACTTCTCTTCTCCTATGTTGGCTCTGACATTTCCAGAGTCTATGTGCTGTCTCCCTCTTTTTGGCTGTGGGAGCCATGGGAATATGAGATGTACAACACTAACTGTCTTTTGAGGGTTCCACTCCACTTCCTGCCTCCCTTCATTTCTTGGATAACATAACCCTTCATGTAGCTAGCGTGATTGTGAGGGTCACAGTAGCTTGGCACTGGGACAAGACTCCTCATTTTATAAAAATTGGGTTCTCCTTCCAAAAACATTTTAATGTTGACAAAATTAAAATTACAAAGCTAAAAATAAAAGTGGAAATATGCTAGCCAAAATGAGGGCTAGGGAACAGGAGGAAGAAGAGTGCCACTTCCTGAGTTTAGAAAGCCACTACCTAGAAAACCACAATCAGATAACATGTGCTCCATTTCAGAAGCCTCTGGAACTTCTGCAGGGGAAGAACACCAATCACAGCAAAACTATGTTCTGGAACAGAAAGAAGAGCCATTTTCTCGAGTCATGTCTACTACATACAATCTTTAGTGTGAATATTTGATTAATATATATCAAATAATATATAATTTGTAAGCTTCATGACAGCAGTATCTGTGTTGCTTTCCCTCATCTGTGAAGTGTCACATAGTAGGCACTCCATAAATGTTTACCAAGTGAATAATAATGCCTGACATCAGTCCAGAACTTGTCTCCACAGAGCAATTTAATACACTTGTTTCTTTGGAACCTCCCAGCCCTGTGAAGTATCTCAAGCACATATTGTAGGCAAATGAGTAAAGCAACCCCCTTATTTCACTTCTGAGGAAAATAGATTGGCTGTTAGAGGCATTCTCATTTTATAGGTGAAGAAAGTAGGGCTACGATTATTCCCATTTTCCAAGTGGGGAAAACGAGGGAGGTATTATTATCTCTATTTTGTAGAAAGAAACTGAGACCCAGGGAGGTAGTTATTTCCCTACATCACAGAGTAAATTATTAGTAGCTGGATTAAAAGCTAAATCTGTCAGAGCTTCAAGACTTTCTCTGAAAATAAAAGCCCTTTCTACATAAGTGGATGTCAGTTTTACCTGAATGGTTTACAGAAAGCACTTATTAAAACATTGGAACACAGACCTGACTCTTTCCTTCTATTATAATACCACCTTTGATAGTGGTATACAAACCATTCACATTCATTATCTTACTTGATTTTCATAACCATTTTCTGAGTTGTGCAGGGCAGCTAACATTCCTGTTTTACCTTTGTGAAAACTTAGGCTTGGAGAGGTGAAGAGGCTTGACCAAAGTCTCACACTGCATATAACAGGGCCTGGACTAGAGGCCAAGTCCTTGGACTCTACTATTCCACGCTGCCTCTCCTCTAGAAATTGCACAACAGGCACTTTAACTGCAGGGCTTTAAACTTAGATATTGTTTATATGAGACTTCTACAGTGGCTTTGAAAAAAAATAACTGGAATGGGCTTTTCTGCCTTGACTATATATCTTTGATCAAGATTTAGAAAGTTAATTACAGTGGGGATTATTTTCCTCATTGTTTTACTCATAGAGTCATTGTCTATAAGGCCATTTAAGAATGAGCTCAACAGATGGAACTATTGT